TAAGAAATCAAACAACATACTGCATTAGGCAAATCTGCTGCACAAGACCTTCTTAAAGTGTTCAGGAGCAATGATGTCAGTTTGAGGACTAAGGTATACCTGATTTAAACCATGGTATTTTCAATAACTTCATATGTATGTGAATGTTGGACAGTGAAAAATGAAGACTGGAGAGGAACTGGTGCATCTGAGTTATGGTGTTAGAGGAGAATATTAAGTACCACAGACTGACAAAAGAATGCACAAATCTGTGTTAGATTTGTATTCAAGCATTCCAGAATGCTCCTTGGAAGCCAGGATGGCCAGACTTTGTCTCTCATACTTCGGACATATTATTAGAAGGGACCAATCACTGGAGAAGGATATCATGTTTGGTAAAGTGGAGGGTCGGAGAAAAAGAGGAAGACTCCCAATGAGATGGATTAACGCAGCGGCAGCAGCAATGGGCTCAAACATAACAAGGATTGTGAGGTTGATTCAGGACCAGCAGTGTTTCAATCTGTGCACAGGGTCACTATGAGCTGGTACAACAACAAGTATTAACAACACCAGTTAATCTCTCTGTCCCTCTTCACATCCAAGGAAAGCATCAATTTAGAAGTCCCTATGAGAAGGTTTAAGGAGCTCTGGTAGCGTAGTGGTTACGAATCAGGCTGTGAACCTCAAGGTCAGCAGTTTGAAACTATCAGCTGTTCCATGGGAGAAAGATGAGGCTTTCTGCTCCCGTAAAGATTTACAGCCTCAGAAACCCTGTACAGGGTCTCTATGAGTCGGAACCCAGTCCACGGTACGTAATCACCACCACTACCACAGAAAGGTTTCTTCCTATAAATGATTCTACAAATAAAATCCAAAGTCCTTTCAGTCCAAATATATCTTGGTCATAGTGGAGGTTGCGTCTGTAAACTGAAGCATCTCAATTGTTAACTAAAGTGAGTTTCTGAGAAAGACCCAACCCACATACCTGCATGTTGCTGCTTGTATTCACTCTGTCCTCCTTGTCTCTACTGCCATCAACACCTGGCTAAACAAAGTCCAGACACAACTTCAAAAGCGCTTGTTATTGTTGTTATGTGCCGTGATTCATAACCACTTGAGGTTAGCAGCCTGATTCGTAACCACTAAAACTGAGAGGGCATGCTACCTGTCTTTTGAACTTACAGCAAGGTGCGGTTTATGTTCCATTCAGCCACGGCAGCCCCCGGGACGGGACTGAAGCTAATCCTGGCTAGTTGGTGCCACTGCTAGAAATTCCCTGACTTCATGCCTTTTATTTAAAAAATAATAATAATTCCCATGGGCACATAGTAAGACGAGAACATCGTAAGGTTCTTAGTTGTGTAGAATGGTCCTCAGCCATGACAAGATCTAACACTAGACGTGCCTAACAGCTTGTCCCTGTCATAATTAAACGTCTCTTCTTTCAAACAGCTGAGAATTCCAGTCATAGCTGACTTGACTTAGCTGGTCTAATCCGCAGGCTCCATAACTACCCTCACCATGAACATGAGCTGAGTCTCATTACAAATGACTGAGCTCACACAATTTGAAAAAATGAGCACCAGACTTGAATAGACATTTCACCAAAGAGGACATAAAGCACATGCAAGGATCCTCAGCATCACCAGATGCAAGTCAAAACGACAAAGAGTACTTCAACCCTCAGATCAAAAAATCAAAAAATCAGAAAGAACAAATGTCAAGTTGCTGGAGAACTTGGAACCCCAATCATTACTGGTGGGAATGTATAATGGTGCAGACGCTGGGGAAAAATATTTGGCGGTCCTTCAAAAAGCTCAAGAGGGAACTACCACGTGACGCAACTATGGCACTCCTAGGTATAAGCCCCCAAAACTTAAATAGATACTTGTGTATCAATCTTCATCGGAGCTCCATTCACTCTAAGAGCCCAAAGGTGGGAACAACCCAAGTGTTCATCACAGATGAATGGATAAACAAAATGTGGTCTATATGTACAACCATAAAGAGAAATGAAGTTCTGATACATGTTATGTATGATGCTGTGAGCCTTAAAAAACAATAATGCTGGGGGAAACAAGTCAGCCATATAAGGCCAAATAGTGTATGATCTCACGTATATGAAACAGGCAGATGTATATA